TTGTGGAGCAGCCAGAGGCACAGGGTCTGATACACTGATGGATCTGACATGTTGGTCTTTGCACTCTACTGGCTGAGAGAGGCTCCAGCAGAGCTCACACGGCTTTGGGACACCTGTCCTAGGCTCTGTATTCTAATTCTCCAGGTAGAAACTGGCTTCTAACCCCAATCCCCACATGCCAGTGATAGTAATGAAATGACTAAGGTCCATTACCTTCCCATTCCCCAGCACCTCTGCTCCCTTACAGGACACTCACTTTTGTCTATTACTACAACGCAGGAATGTGGGTGGCTCTAGGAGCACGAGGCTGCCAGGCAGCACAGGAGGGGTGGCCGAGATCCCCTGGCTCCGTGTGATTCCAGCAGCATTCTGTGGCCGAGGTTTTTCCACTTTTAAGTGGCTCTAGAACTTGCTGGATCTCCCACACTGAGCCTGAACTAGCTCCATTCTGTAGATAGGGACTTAGCCCACCCTTCTACATCCATCTGATTTCTCATGGGTGCCTCATTTGGTTCGGACTCCACGGCACTGTCACAGCCTTTGGGAACTGCAGAGCCATAATGATACAGTGGCTGACACTTTGACAAATAGCTAAAAGCCCAGTTAATAGGACTAAAGTACTCGCTCTAAGAAAGTCGTTTTATCTATATTTAAGCCCCATCTATCCTTGGATAACTCAACTGACAAAAGTGCAAACCCATCTAAGAATGGCAGATGAACTGACAGAATCTACACATAAAAGAAAGCAGGACAGCTTGATTCACAGTCCCAATCAGAGCCTCCTGGAAAGCGGCCAGGCAATTCCAGCTCAGAAGCACAGAGGAGGGAAACGGTAATTACAACTGCGGCATCACCATGTTTCACAGGAGATAAAAAAAATCGATCAAGGCACCTTTCAGATATCTGTTCATCAGACACAGGCTACCCACCTACTACGTGCCGACCCTTTCACGCTTCCTTTCTGCCCACTAACCCCATGATGCACTGTCATCCACTTGCTGTGATGGATAACCTGCTCCTGCCTCCCTGTAGACATGCTCACCGGACCAGCTGTTGTTACCTGAAACGGCAAGGGGTGACACACTACCTGCATGATGTGTGTCAGGAAATGCTCCTCTATGGTCAGTAAAAAGTCTATTCCAACCCAACGAGCCAGGGACTGGTGTCTGAGGAACTAGGTACCAGCACCAGCCTGCCAAGCTTCCCAGGCAGGGTAGTGGTGAGGTCACTGCCTCTCCTTAGACTTCAGCTGTAAAATGAGGACTTCTGGGCTCCTTCCCAAGAAGGAGGAAGGACAACTGGAAGGAAGAGAAAGAGGGTCAGGAGGCCAAGCCATGCTAATCTGCAGTCCTCACGGGGCAAAGGGCACAAAAGAGGCACCAAGAGAACATGGGCTGAAGGGAGACATTTCCCTCTCTGGGTCATCCCCTCCTCCCAGGGCCAGGGACCATGGGGTGTGACAGGGCTTTATAAACTGATGAGTAGTGCTTTGCAGGGGTGGCTAGGATGATTATATCCTGGGGCCTTGGTGGATGGAGCCCTATGCCTCCGTTTCTCTGGAGGGATGTTTAAACACATATTCCAGGCTAGGGTCCAATGTCTAGCTGGAGATTGAGTCAGACAGCCCTTCAGCCAGCATGTGGCCACCAGCCTGCCAATCTGCCTTGTGGGGGAGGGTCTCAGCTCAGCAAGGGCTACAGGAAGACCTGGGTGTACTGGACCAGGGTATGGGGCAGCCCACTCCTCAGTGCAGGGGCTGGTGTTCAAATCTACTGTTAGCTTGCAGAGCCTGGGTCAGGTCCTCTCTCTCTAAGCCTCAGTTTTATAGTCTGAGGATGTAGTAAGGGTCTTCTCTAAAGGCCCTGATTGCTGGCTGGAAACACCCTAAATTCTCAGATCAGCGGGCTAAGCCAGACATCATATGGCAGCTAGTGGATAAAGAGGGAACTGCAGAAGTCCCCTAAGTTGGCTGTTGGGTCACGCCTTGCACTGGGCAGTGGTACCACCTAGCAGAAACCATTTTTGCTTTCTTTTGAGTTGTTGATAGGTTCAGCAATTTGTTATGCTTAATTGACAAAAAATGACAAGCTATTTGCTGATGATAATGTATACAGTAATATCTTTGTCTTGACTGACATGCATGGTATTTGTGTTAGAAAAAGAAATGTATACTGTAAAGACATGTGATTAAATGTAAATAAATTTAAAAAGAAAAAAGAAACCATGACATCTTGGAGAGACAAGCAGTAACCAGGTCACTACAACACAGACAGGTGGGACGGTGGAAGATGCTCCAGTGACTGCTCTTGATGAAGGAAATCAGGGAGACTTTACAGAAGAAGCATTATCCAGGTAAAGGATGACCCAGCCCCGCTGTGGATGAACCCGCTGTGGCAGAAACTGGTGATGCCTGTAGGGAGCAAAACACCACATGCAGGTAGCAGCTTATGATCCCTGGGCCAATATGTGTGTGATATGCGTGTTCATGCAGCAGGGGCCACCAGAGTCACAGACCAGCCTCTCCCCCTCATGATCTGGGTGGGTATGCCTGGAAGAAGTTAATGCCCTCAGACCCTTTGCCATCCTCACTAGCAGAACAGAGCTGTTGGGAAACTGTGTCACATAATTTACATGTGATTCTAAAGTGATTCCCATATAATTTGCCTGTGATTAGCACATGACGACCACATGATTGGTGTGGGGTTATCAAATGACTGTGATTACCACAAGGTAGCCATATGGTTTTCCTGTGATTGTCACATAATCCCCACATGACTGCCACATGATTCCCAAGTGACAGTCATGTGATTCACACGTAATTTCAGCAAAATTCACCCGTGACTGCCAAGTGATTGATATGTGGTTCCCACCTGATTGTCACATGGCGTGGCACCAGGAGGTGTGGCACCGGGAGATGTGGCTGGTGCTGGTGTCATGAGTGAGCACGTGGCAATCAGGTCATTCATGTTATCACGTCAATAGGATGCTGCTCACGGGTCATCATGTTGCTCAACAACTCATGTCACTCACATCACATGCCATTCACATGCTACCAGTCTATAACTCACATGATGTCCTATGGTCTTCACATGTCACTACCATGTGATTCACATGGTGTTTACATTATCCCCACATGATCGGCATAGGATCATATGAGTGCCATATGAATAGCATGTAGTTCCCACATGATTGATGTGTAACATGTGTCACCAGATTCCCCTGTGATCGGCACATGATTCCTAAGTGATCAACATGTGATTTTCACAAGATTTCCAAGTTATCCCCAGGTGATTCCATGTGCTTTACATGTGAGCCCCATGTGATTAGCATGGATTCCAGTATTGTTAACACGAATGTCCATTAAGTTCACATGATTATTATATCATGTCATGAGTCTGTCACAGAATGTAATGTGTATCATGAGCATTATATGTGAGTGCCACATGATAGCATTTGAATAACAAGTGAGTGACATGCTAAAAAAAATAAATAAAACAAACAGGGAGCCTTGTCAAAGTGACCAGAAGGCACTAGCAAGTCTTGTGCCTCCCCAGGGATCTTCCTTGTGCTCTCTGCTCTGGTGTAGGGAGAAGCCTATACCCAGGCCCCAGTCTGCTGCCCAGCCCCCAACTCCCTGATTCCTACTGCCTAGGAGGGCTGACCCAAAGGTGGAAGTGAGACAGCCCACAGGTAGAAGAAAGGAGGCCAGCCAGGGGACTACTGCAACAGTCCAAGCAAGACTGTACCAGGATAAGAGTTATAGTCTTGAAACAAAATAGAAGGCATACATCTGAGATACTTCAAAGGCAGATGCATTTGACAAACTTAAAAAGGAATGACTATGTGTTCTATTTAGTTTTAGCTCAAATGACTGTGAAATAAAAATAAAGAGGGTAAACGGGAATTTAGTTAAACACGTGCATTAAATTTCAAGTGCCAGCAGATAATATATGTAAACATGTCTGCCGGGATGAACACGGATTAAAGACAGAAAGGGACTATAAAGCAGCAGGCCTATTTTTTAAAGATCTAGAGATACTCCTGCTGGCATTCCTACTTCATTCTGCTCCCACAACGAGGTGGCAAAAATGTTGAGAAAGATAAGAGAATAACAGAAGTCCTAGGAAAACAAAATATTAAAGGAAAATGCTCTAAAACCATTTAATAAAACTTGACCCTTGTATCTAAGGACACCCAAACCATTCTACCATTCTAGACTAAGCATACCCAATGCTGGCAAGGTTACAGTAAACTGGCAAATATTCTTATACATGCTGGAAGAAAGAATCCTTTTGGAAAGCAATGTGGCAATATGCATCAAAAGCCATAAATTGTCAATACCTTGACCTAAGATATTACTTCTAGGAATCTATCCAAAGTAGTTATTCAAAAGAAAGCAATTAGGTATGTGGTCAGCAGTCGAGGATATTTGGTACTTGAAGGTGTTCATTACCTATGAGAGTAAAAGATTTAGAATCCACTTAAATGTTCAACCATAGGATATTAATTATTAATTAATTAAGAGCACTATAGGGCCTTGGTGAAATCATTATGCAGGCATTCCAGTGTTAGCTATGGGACAGCACAGTGGCACAGAGGTAACGTGCTGCTCAAGTGAACTAGAGCCATAGGAAGAGCCTGAGTTTGGTTCCCGGATCAACTTGCCTTTGATCCTGACTGTCTGGGAGAGCTGGGGAGTGACGGATCTCAGTGTGAGACACTGTTGAGGGTGCTCATGTGTGTGTGTGTGTGTGTGTGTGTGTGCCAGCGTGTGTGTGCTTGTGTGTGTATCTGTCTCTCTTATGAAAGAAATAAACTTTAAAAAGATGTTATAAAAGAACAGGCTACGTGATTATGCAGACACTATGATTCTAACTATAACTTCTGTGTTGAGATAGTGGGATTTGGAGTACATCTTTTTCCTGCCCCTTTTTAAACACACTGTATTGCTTCGGATGAAAAGTAAGAAAGAATGTCACAATTGGCTAGTGGGGTGGTACCTTGGCTCCATCCACACTGATGATCCGATAGCTGTTCCTCGTGACATCGTAGAAGTAGGAAACGGTGACTGCCTGCTTGCTCGCAGGCACCCAGTTCTTCTTGGTGCTGGGGTCGATCTGGAACACGTGCGCTCGCGTCGTGAAGATGGGCTGTTCTCTGCGATAAGAGATGGGCACATGAGCTGACAGACCACTTTGTGCATAATTTATGATTTCTAGGCCACCTACTGCCCCAAAAGATTTTAAAAAAAAAAGGGAAAGATACATATGCATTAAGACAGTTAGAATGAGAAAAGGAAATAGAGGAGAAAAACTAGACGCCAGTGAGTAATTTCTGCAACCCACACTCCATTTAGCTGTTACCACCCTTGGGCTCCAGAACAATTGGCCTAATGAGCAATTTGCTTAAAACTCAATTCCTGGCTGCTCCTGCATCCTTGCCAAGTGTCCTAGCCTTTTCTTTTAACATCCTATTGGCGTTTTTTAGGGAACAATTGGCCTAATGAGCAATTTGCTTAAAACTCAATTCCTGGCTGCTCCTGCATCCTTGCCAAGTGTCCTAGCCTTTTCTTTTTGCTATTGGCATTTTTTAGGATTTTGAAACTAATTCATATTTAGAATTTTGCGATGCATTTATTTTGGGAGACTCTGCCACAATTTTAAGATTTTGCAACCCATTTGCAGCTTCATATTTCTCAAGTTAAAGTACTTCTCAAAATTACAGCATTTTATGAATGATAAAATTATTTTACATTCTGGTGGGTATTTCTTTAGTCTACTTTTGGAACCATTTAAGGAGTTTACAACTTGACCGAGCCTTCAAGTTTTATGTTTTCAACTTATAAACCTTTTGAGTTGAATGTATTGATAGAACTCATCAAATCTGTCTCTTTCGCTATTCTTGCTTCAGTATTGCTGTTGTTTCACTCCATGTGCTTGTAAGCTCTTCACACAATTATTAACCAAATTAGCTCATTATCTGTTTCTTCCCACTGAATGGAGAATTAATTAGCTCTTGACAACAGACATTAAGAAATAAGACTAATGAATAAAAATTGTAATGGATTTCACTACACTTTGTAGTTTAAGGTACTTGGCTTTGCAGACTAACACAAAATGAAACACAGACTCATTGCAAAATATATTTTTAAAGAAAGGAACTTCAGTCAAATTAGTTCAAAAATAGCTTAAGTGTTCAAAATGAAATACAGAAAAAAACCACTGGCACGTAAAAATAATCTCATCATTCATGAAATAATACAGATTTGGTAAGTACTTTTTGGATGTATATAATTAAATCAAATGGTAACTTAGACAAATTAACTTTTTAAATCCTTATAATGTCAGAAGAGATGACATAGAACAGGATAGGGGGCTAGCAGGTTGGCTTGGTGGTTAAGGTGCTGGACTCCCACATGGCCAACCAGGTTTGAGTCCCAACCTGGAGGCTTGACAATCACACAGACACAGGGGCATGCATACCCAAAATCTGTGGTGTGGTCATCCACCCTTAGGAGATGATTTCTCACTTTCCCTTTAACTCTTGTCTCTAACTGGCAAGTCCATGCACCCTAAGGCCAAAACCAAACAACCTACATACCTACATACATATATAAACAAATAGATAAAGAGGACAGTCAGTGGATTCAAGAAAATCAAAATGGAAAAGCTAATTTTAAATGTCTGGTCTCTAGAGTAAGTGGTTTTAGGCAAGGCAGTCTATGAACTCGACATGTAAATAACTCATTATGGAAAAGAGAATTTTTAAGAGAATTTTTTTCTTAGAAAAGTAAATGATCATTTTAGCCCCTGGCAAGGGATACTGAATAATACCACAGATATTTGCATCAGCCACCAATTGAGGTTTTAAAGCAATACAGAAAGCTTCTTCATGTCTACTTGTCCAAGAGCATGCTATAACGTTACTTCAGTACAGCAGTTTCTAGAGCCCTGTGTTCCGGAATGGACAGAGACTAGCATTCCTTGCTCCCTGAAACTTTCTAGGTCCCTGGAGCGAGCCTCAGGGAATGTAAAAAAAAAAAATTTTTTTTTTTTGAGAGGTTTTTGCTATAGGGCACGTGTGCTCACCAGGAAGACAGAGAGACAGAAAGCGAGAAATCACCGCCCCCCCGTCCCCGGGGGGGATGACCACACACAATTTCCTTCTCCTCCATTCTCCTCTCGGGATCTTGGGCATGCACGCACACATGCCCAGCGTGAATTTAAGTCACCGGGTCCGGGACTTGAACCGCAGTCAACTACACGGGAGTCCAGCAACATAGCCATTATGCCAACTGCTGGTCCCTGGGGAATGTAGATTACAAGGACATTTCTTGTCCCTCAACGGGAACCATGATCACACACCTACTCAATCTTAAACCACCATTCTAGCAGCTGGGTGGTAGCTGTAGAAATAAAAAGAATGTTCTCTCTGTAACTTTCCATGTGTTGTCAAGAGAGGCTAACCTGTAGAAAAGCATGTGCATATGCACACGGGCCCTCTGAAACAAGGCCATGTGGGGAAGTCTGATGTCTGAGTGGCCCAAGTGTGTTACTGTCAGCCCAGCCCTGCAGTTTGTGATCATCTAAGGACAACAAGGTGAAGCAGAATGCTTCGTTGTAGGGTATACTCTTGCCTATGTAAGAGGAAGGAGCAATTTAAAGGGCAATAACCGGGGCCAGCAGGTGGCATGGTGGTCAAGGCACTGGATTCTCACATGGCCAAGTGCAGTTAGAGTCCCGGACATGGTGGCTTGAGAATCATGCTGTGCGTGTGCGTGTGTGTGTGCATGTCCAGAAACCCAAGAAGAGAGCGGAGGAGAAGGGAATGCAGTGTGGCCTTCCCCCCGGGGGGGGGGGATTTCTCATTTTCCTTCTCTGTCTCCCCAGCAAATGTACCAACCCTACAATAAAATCTAAAAGTAAATTTTAAAAAAGGGAAATAACTACCAAAAACATTTTAGAGAATCAAAGTCTGATAACATGTCTATCTCACTCTCACAAAGTACTGAATAGGCTGGCAGGGGTGCGGTGGGGACAAGGGTCCAAGAGGAGCCTTCCACGGGGCAGGGGCCTAGGTTCTGCTCTTCCCTCTCCTTCCCCACACACAGGAAGAGGGATTGGGTTTGGGTTTTAGCATATCCAAACCAGTGTTTTCTAAACCTCTAAAACAGGAATTACTGGGAGTACTTACAAAAATATAAGTTCCTGGGCCTCAACCTAGCCTCTCCAGAACCTGTGTCTGGATCTTGGATACTTTTTTAAAAATGCTTTTGTTATAGGGCACATGTACTTCTCAGAGAAAGAAAGCAATAAACCAACCCCCGGGGGATGACCATGCCACAGTTCTTTCTCCTCTATTGACCTCTTGGGATTGGGGGCATGCAAACACACACCCTAGCATATTTTTCTATTATTATTATTATTATTATTATTTTAATGTTTTTGCCTTAGGGCATGTGAGCTCACTGGAGAAAGACAGAGAGAGGGAAAGTGAGAATTATGGCCATGCCATAATCCCTTCTCCATTCTTTTCTTGGGATTTTGGGCACACATATACATGCGACAGGAGTGAGTTTCAAGCCACTGAGTCTGGGACTTAAGCCAGGGTCGGCCCTGTGGGATTGCAGTGCTTTAACCACCATGCTACCTGCTGGTCCCTGGAGGTTCTATTTTTAACAAGGGTTCCAAGTAATTTTATTAAAAATTTTTTAAAAAAATAATTATTCATTTTAATTTTATTTATTATTAATATTCAATTTGATGAGAGAGAGAGAGAGCGAGCGAGCGCAAAGCTGCCAGTTCTGGGACTTGAACAGTGGTCGGCTATGTGAGAGTACAGAGTCTTAACCACCATGCCACCTGCTGGGCCCCCAAGTAACTTTTATCCTCAAGGAAGCCCAGAAGACATTATCAGATATCTACAAAAAAACAAAAATGTAGCTCCTATCGCAATCGTCTCTGCTCCAAAATGATGTTGCTGACTGTGAATAACACAGAATGACTCCATAAACTTCTGAAACTCTGGCGGACCAACAGCGAGACTAAGAACAGAATCTCTAGGTACAAAGGCTGGTGGGAGGAGATAAAGGGAGACAGGTACTGTGGTTAGGAAAAAGGGCGGCTTGTGGTGGCCAAGCAGTAGGAAGTGAGGAAAGCAGAGAGACAGATGGGGAAGGAGAAAGAGACAAGAAAAGATGGTAGAGCTATTGACCAGGCATAAAGCAGCCAGTCATCTGTTGATATGATTCAGGTCAAGGTGAGCATGCAGATAAGAAGGGCTCCGTCTCCAGCTCTGCCTCTCAGTTCTGGGATGGGCAGAAGTCATTGTGGGTTGCTCTGAGGACTTCAAGCAGAAATGCAAAGATGTTGGAAGAGTACAACGGGCTCAGGGCAGACTGCTCAAGCAAAGCTGGATCCAAATGGAGAACTGGTCCTCTGGTCCATCAGTACTCTGGACATATGTATCCTCAATCCTGGAGAGCTGGGAAGGTGCAAGTCGGGCTGCAGGGGAAGGGGGTGCAACCATGGTCAGGCTCCCCACAGGGAAGGTGGCTGCTCCAGACTTGGAAGGGGTGTTGCAGGGAGTCTGCTAGTTCCATTCTGAGGGTGGTCACCTCGGGAGAGAGCTCTGGCCACAGTGAGAGGCCCTGGGCTAACAGGAGGATCTGCACAGCTAGTCTGGCAACAGCTTTGTGGCCAGGAAATTACCCCCAGGACTGGAATTTCCATGTGAGTAATGAAGTCTGAGGGCACTAGGGAGTTTCAAGTTATTCTTCTTCTGAAATTCAAAAAGTCTAATGGTATTTCAAGAAAAGGCAAGGACAAAAAGAAAAGCCATAGCTGACATTTACCGAGTGCTTACCAATCTGCTTGGCTGTACATGAGAGCTCTCGTTTAGGTTCACAATAGTCCTATGGGGAAAGTGCTGTACAGATGAAAAAACAGACTTAGAGAGGCCAGGCAATCTGTCTCGGGTCACACAGTTCCTAAGTGTGTGAGGCTTGAGATCTGAAGTCATTTCTAAGTGACATGGAAACCACCCCTTTTAACATTATATTATATTCTCTTCTTAAATAATAACTGTCTAGAGACCAGCAGAAGGCATAATAGTTATTTTGCTGGACTCCCATGTGGCCTTCAGACCTGGAGGCTTGA